AACTGCTAGGTTGGCAGGAGCAGGGACCAAGCAGGGCTCACCCTGTCGCGGGGATTCAAACTGCCGACCTTGTGATTGGCAAGTCCTAGGCTCTGTTGTTTAACCCACAGCACCACCCGCGTCCCTAATGGTGTGCTTATTTGCTGGTAATATCCGATGTTGAAATCCTTTTCAGAACAGATAATGTTAGGCCTTAAAAATATGGATAAAATCACTGTTTTTTAATTTTTCTAAATCCCAGGTTAATGTCTGACTTGCCTAAATTTGACGACGAGGATCTCAAATCCTATGGTGATGAAGAGGAGGAGCTATCATTGTACGTTTCATTTTATTTATATAATGAATGAAGCAACTGCCTATCATAGTAGAATGTTAAAATGTTCCAACCACTTGCCAGACTTGGACTTTCACGGCTTAAGTGGGAAGATGCACCTGTGATCCTCAATATTGTGTTTGTGTGTGTGTACGCGTGTGTGTGTGTGCGCACGCGCACACACACACACACACACACACGTACCTCAGGAGATCTCACAAAGTTGCAGAAGGTACACCCCCAAAGAACTGGGAAAGAGTAATGTTCCGTGTTTGTTCTCTTCTTCCTGATGTCTTCCCATTTAGGGACATAAGAACCTTGTTGGATCAGACCATAGTCTCATCTGGTCCAGCATCCCATCTCTCATAGCCAACCAGATGCCTATGGGAAGCCTACAAACACAATGTGCGGGCGATAACTGTCTCCTGCCATTGAAACTCTGTGTTGAGGACTCACAGACCTCCACTCCTGGGGGGTAATATATAGCTATCATGGCATTCTAAGTAGGGCAAGCTAGCCTTTAAAACTGGGTAACGCATTCACAATTTTAAGCAGTGATTCTGCCTTGGGAGTAGCCAATTGTTTGATTTCTGTATACCGTATTTTTTGCCCTATAGGATGCATTTCCCCCCTCCAAAAATGAAGGGGAAACGTGTGTGCGTCCTATGGGGCGAATGCAGGCTTTCGCTGAAGCCTGGAGAGCGAGGGGGGTCGGTGCGCACCGACCCCTCTCGCTCTCCAGGCTTCAGGAAGCTATCCGCAAGCCGTGGGAGAGCTGCACGAAGTCACGCAGCTCTCCCACGGCTAGCGGAGAGCTTGCCTGCACCCAGAAGCTCAGCACGCCCCAGGCTTCCGGCTTCGCGCAGCTTTCCGCTAGCCGTGGGAGAGCTGCACGAAGTCGCGCAGCTCTCCCACGGCTAGCAGATAGCAGCCTGTTCTGGGGGCTGGGGTCGGGGGAAGCTCGGGCTTCCCCCGCCCAGCCCCGCACCTGGGGGGGAAATATTTATTTATTTATTTATCCCCCCCCCAAAAAAAAACCTAGGTGCGTCCTATGGGCCGGTGTGCCCTATGGGGCGAAAAATACGGTAGATCTTTTTGCTCTTTGCTCTGGGCTTGTTCAGTAGGGCTGGTTTAACTCCCAAGTCACATATTTAGATCTGGAGGAAGTTCTTTGTCACCTTGGTAGCACCTGGTAGCACATTCTAGGTGTTGGCATCAAGGATATGAAAATAAAATGAAATTCTCCTGGAGAAAAAGTCCTCCATTGAGGTGCTTGAGATAACATGGCATTGTTTAATGCGCTTACATGTTTGGTACAATGGAAACTGGTCTGAGTGTAACAAATAACACCTTTGCTTGCCTGACTTTAGGTCCCCACCAGCAGCTCTTATGACTGTGCTTGCCACTCAGGAGGAGTTACTGGAAAACATCCTAGAAGGCATTCCAGTTGGAGAGTTTGCAGTTATTCAACCACTAAGTGATGAGTTTTGCCTTGTTTTGGGATACCTCCTCACCTGGAAATTAATGCTAACTTTCTTCAAGGCAGCATCTTCTCAGGTGAATTAAAGGGTTTATCTTTTTCTCCTCACCCTGTGACACACATATACCCATGTACTTCTCCACATCCTTCTATTGACAAAAGCGGTGTTCAGTTATTCCTAATCCACAGCAGTAGGAAATAAGCAAGCCTTTTGCTTGAAAATCATTAGTACAAATAAAAGCATTTCAAATCCTTTTGCCCAGAACTTGGAGCTGCAAAATAGCTGTCATATGGTGTTCCACTATCTATTTTACTAGTATTCCCAAGTCATTTTTGTCAGTGAGGAAAAAGTACTTTCATATATCTGAACAAGGGTTATGGTTGTTCTCATGCCAGTTTGGATAAATGATATTGTCTTGTAGCATCTGGCTGTAAGAAGGAAAGACTTGGGAGCACATAGGGTATGTTTCATACCTGGCAACATGAAACCCAAGGCAATCTTACCAGCATGTCATAATGACATTGCTAAATTGCTCCATAGAAATATGTATTTGTGATGTTGCATCTTATTTTTTAAAATAGTTTGACCAATGTATTACCATTAATTTCCTTGCAAGTGCGCATTAAGGCTTTGTATAAAAACTGTCTTGTCTATCTGCTGTAAATCCCACCAAGCCTTTTCATACTCCCATTGTATACATTCCTTCAGTTTTAATGCTTCTGAGAACAGATTTTATTGGGAATAATTTTTGTATGCTTTCACCACCAGCTGCGAGCTCTTTACTCACAATATCTCCGAAGAACTAAGAGTTTGAATAAACTATTGTATCACCTGTTCAGGCTTATGCCAGAAAATCCAGCCTTTCCAGGATCAACAGCTGAACTCCCAAGTAAGGATGTAAAAACGTACTTTACTGAGGAGCTTGACTTAGACGTCAAAGGTCAGTCCAAATAGTTTTAGCTTTAATTGACATTGAATTTCTTCATTGTGTGAAACAACTGTGGAGATGTAATTTAACTGTTCTTCTTTACAAACCACTTCCCCCATTTGTTATCCAGACACCTCATCGCTGTCTTCCCACATCCCTCATTTGGCATGTTCTGTTTACTGTATGACATTAAAAGATTTGCCAGCCATGGTTCGTCTTTGGTGGAATAGCTGCGAGAAACGAGTCTTCAACACTGTAGATAAATTTACAAGCAAATATGTCAGCAGTGTACTTTCTTTACAAGAAATATCTTCAGTGCAGACCAGTACACAGTTGTTTAATGGAATGATGGTTAGTATGATCTTATCTACATAAATTTATTTCATTCTTTGACAAGTTTGATACTGTAGAAAGTAAATTACCATCGAGTGTTCAATCAGAAGCAAACACTTTATCTAGGGTTGTTTCTGGAAAACAGGTTTGTGCATATATAGTGCTCTGAATTAGGGCAGTGATCATCTGCAGTCTATGTATTATTCTATAATTTAAGAGATACTTCAGTTAATATCAATCCCTCAACAAATTAATGTCTGGAAATGCCTTGTGATATTTGTGGGAGCACACAGAACTATTCCAGGATTGTTATTTCTGCTTATTAAATAGAAAAAGAATCAAAGATATTTGTGCTCATAAATGTTGCAGATATTGTGCTGTCATTTCCAGGGCAGATCTCTTCTATAAGCAGCCATTTTTAGTGTCTCTGTTCTGGCCACAGTTACAAAACATTGCACATATTTCAGTGGGGGGAGGAATAGAAGTGTATTGCAAGTACACTTTACAAGTGTATATATTTTAGGTGCATTCCATCGGCTATATGCCTTTTTGACAAGTATTCTGCCTGCTATGGATTTGTTTTTCCACAGGTAAAAGCTCGATCTGCTACGCGAGAAGTCATTGCTACCTACTCAGTTGATGATATATTCATTGAACTGATAATACAGCTTCCTCCAAATTACCCCCTGGGTTCCATAACTGTTGAGAGTGGAAAGAGAGTTGGTGTAGCAGTGCAGCAATGGCGCAATTGGATGCTACAGTTGAGCACATATCTCACCCATCAGGTATGTGTCACTTAAAAGTACCATGATGGTTCAGTCCTTGCCATGTATTATTATCCACAGGTTAGGTCTGCTCTGAACAGCAGGTGGGTGCAGAATAGCAGGGCAGCTGCTCACCATTGGACAGCTGTCTAGCTCAATATAACCTTCAGTCTGAAAGCCATCTGCATGGGTACCGAAATTGCCCCCTCCTGATTTTGCACTTGCAAAAAACGTCCAGTCCTAACTGAGTAGGGAGAGAGAAGTACTTTCCAGGCATGGATCCAGTCAGATCTGCACTCCCAAAAGCTCTTGCCATTGAAATGGCAGCTGCTTCAGTCAAAATTCCTGTTCTTTTTTAGAAGAGAGTTGTGTAGTATAGCTATTAAGTAAAATGTATGCTTGGCAGATTCTGATCTATGTAAAACAACTCTTGCTAAAACCAGATACAGTGGAGTACTTTATTATGTAGTAGACAGCATTAATGGTGGGACACCATGCTTTAAAAAAACTTTCAAGATATGGTATAACTTTCTTGTAAAATAGTTGAAAGGACTGTGAACCAGTATGAAAAGTGAAATACTCTAAAGACAAACTTGAAATAATGAATTATTGATTCCTGAGACAACTTATTTTCTTTTAGAACGGAAGTATAATGGAAGGCTTAGCATTATGGAAAAACAATGTGGATAAACGCTTTGAGGGTGTTGAAGACTGTATGATCTGTTTCTCAGTCATACATGGCTCTAACTACTCTCTCCCTAAAAAAGCTTGCAGAACATGCAAGAAAAAGTTCCATTCAGCCTGTCTGGTAAGTACATGGAATAGACAAATTCTGAACCAAGTTTTAAATAAAAGAAGACACAGAAAGCTTCAGTGGCTTTAGTAGTAGTCAAATCCACAAAACTAGTTGAGTTTCAGTAAAATTGAGAGGATAAATCCTCCTGTAATGAGTAGCAAGTATTTCCCTTAAGAAAACAGAGTTTACTTCCATGCTGCATTGTAAACTAATTATCACTCTTGGGAAATTATGCAGCCGACATTCTTGAAAACTGAAGGACTAGGACATATTAGTGTAGTATGCTCATATAGGAAAGCTATCTGCCCATGGTAGTAAGCCTTAGAATATGACAATTAAGTCCTTAAGCACCCAGATGGGCAAAAAACTTCGTTGAATAATAGGCTTCAGAAATGGCTTTCATTTTAATTTTCACAGAAGTCACACATGTGATACTTACTCAACTATTTAAGACATAAATAAAACTTTTTCATCTAGCAACCTTACATTTAACGTAAAATGTATGTCAAATCTGCTTTTAATACTCTTTTTTTTAATTATTCTTTCAGTACAAATGGTTTACATCCAGTAACAAATCCACTTGTCCGCTTTGTCGGGAGACCTTCTTCTGAAATGACTTCTCTGCTTCAATGAACTTCTCAAAGAAAATCAACAGCCACAGTTGGATTTAGCTGTGAAACGCTAATTTTAGCTTTATTTACAAATAAAAATCTTAAGTTGTTTGATCAGGGTATCATACAAATTGTATATGGCTTTTATATTAATAATTATTTATTATTACTATATATATATTAAAGCAAGGCATTCTGACATCTCAGGCAAAAACTGATGGTATGTAAAGCCTCAGCTTCTGTGCTTTGGTTAATTCAATTTCCAGAGACTATAACACCACCAGTGCAATGCTGTGCATACTAGGGGTGCCATATTTTGAAGAGCAAAAAAGAGGACATGGAGCCCCCTCGCCTTCCATGGCGTACGTGCACTGTGGACGTGCACACCATACCCTCCAATATTTCTGTTCAAGAAATTCAGTCCTGATGAAAATAACTTCTGTCTTCATTGTGAGGATAATACAGGATCAAGTATTATTGTCTTTTGTGCAACCTTTATTCCAGAGTAGTTTTTGTTTAACAGGTAGTCTTCAGGACTTGCAAAACTTAAGTACCGAAAGATTTTCTCTTCCTGCTTGTCTGGAAAGTACTCTGGTGCCTTTTAAGCCACATTTTTGCAATGTTTTGATAATTTCATCTGCAATTACAAATCAGAAACCACAGCTCAGTTTAAAGCAACAGATGGGTCCTAGCCTTCTATGAGCCAGAATTATCTTCAAATTTCTTTCAGCATTAATTTTGCAAAAACAAAACAAAAACCCCATACACAAACACAATCCACCCAGCTAGATTTCCTGCCTATTGGCAAAGAGAAAAACCTGTAGAAAGCTGATACTAGATTACCAGAACTGCTGTGAGAACAGATGTAGAACAAAACTAAGCAAGGTTCTTAACTCCTTATTCCTGACCAGTGTAAGGCTCACTTACCTATCATTTCCAAGGTTCTCTCATTTTAAGAGTTACACACTTGGCTATTAAAAAAATGAATAATTATTATTCACTGCCAACCTAGTCTCACGTTTGGCTCTCAACCGAAAAATCTGTTCCTTTGCTACTCCATGATTCACATTTACTTAACATTCAATTATAGCAGCCTCTGTCTCGCCTGTATACCACCTGTAAATAGATGTAGAAACTCTGGGCAAAAATGGATCACTAATCCATTCTACAGCAAGCATTACATGACTAAGCAGTAATAGGCACATGATGAGTCACAAGGAAGTGTTGCAGCCCCTAACCACAGGCATCCCCGAAACTTGGCCCTCCAGTTGGTTTTGGGACTACAACTCCATCATCCCTAGCTAACAAGACCAAGTGGTCAGGGGATGGTGGGAATTGCAGTCCCAAAACCAGCTGGAGGGCTGAGTTTGGGATGCCTGCCTTAACAGAAATATTGCTGTTTACAGCTACAGCTTGAAACAGATTCATCTGCTTTGGAGCTCAGAGTGCAACTGGGGTGGGTGACTTTTTGGAACCAGAAATGGAAATTGTATGACCTTTTTTTCTTCCCTATCTTCCTGTCAACCATATGGTGTTAAAGGATTAGGGTTGGGGGCTAGCTAACCCTAAACTCAGCGTGTTCCTACTGCATTGATGGAAGCAAGGAAAGGTTTGGGAAGAATGGGAAAGAGTACGTGTGACCTTTTTATTTCTCTTCCTGAAAAATCTTGGTAAAGTGCAAAAAAGGAAGCGTAACCTCATGGCACAGGTCCTCTGGTGACCCGATTCCTCCAGAATTCCTACTGCAAGATGTTAGGGGAGGCATGTGGCCTTCCAGTTGTTCTTGGTCTCCAACAGTCCCATCTAGGATGGTCAATGGTCAAGAATTCTGGGTGCTGGAAGACTAACAACAACTAAAGAGCCACAGGTCTGCCTTGCCTATGTTAAAGCCCCAAGCAGGTTTTTTTTCTTTCCTTCCCCCACTATTGCCCTCAACATTCTTTAGACATATTTGGGACTTAATTTTTTAATTTTAATTTACATATTTCTGCATACCAAAGGAGCCCCCTCCCATATGTAAAAGTGTCTACCTTATTTTTGGGTAGTCCCATTTAGCATCCTAGCCTGAGACTAAATGGCTTTTAGAGGAAATAAGATGGTCATTCTAGCCCCCTGCAGGTGAAGAAAGTTCATGTGATGAAAGGGAAGTTGTATCCTCAATGTTCTGTGCTGGGACAGCCTCAGAATCCACACATTGAGTGTGGATCTATGCATGAGATATACCTTTGCAGCCATCCACATTAAATGCATAAGCATCAGGGGGTAAGGCTGGTCCAGCACAGAACACCTGGAATGGGGGTCCCACTTTCCCTTCATCATATGGAATTCATTCATGTGAATATGGTATGAAGGGGGACTCTGTGTTCTCCGCAAGGGCTTTCACTAGCAGTAGCTGAATACTAGACAGACCATACAAGATGTATACAGCTCATATAAGGCATCATAGGAGTGGCTGAATCCAGTTTGGCATAAAATTGTCTCCAAAACTCATTCAAATGAATTACAAAATTATTCTAAACAAAAAAAATTCCTTCCAGTAGCACCTTAAAGACCAACTAAGTTAGTTCTTGGTATGAGCTTTCGTGTGCATGCACACTTCTTCAGATACACTGTGTGCATGCACACGAAAGCTCATACCAAGAAGTAACTTAGTTGGTCTTTAAGGTGCTACTGGAAGGAATTTTTTTTGTTTTGACTATGGCAGACCAACACGGCTACCTATCTGTAACTAAAGTTATTCTAAAGCATGCCTCTCTCTGAAAAGATTTAATCCAAAAAGTAAAGACTAGCCAAACTGTTTTTAAGATATTTGCCAAGTGTTTCAGTGCAAACTCCTTAAGTTTTAGGGGGGGGGGAGAGAGAACAGAAGTATTGCTAACCTGGATCATTTTCTTTAATTGTAACTAAGTAAAATAATCCTCTAGCTGAAAGCAAGTCTGACACCAGTGGAAGGAGCCTGTCCATAACTTCTCTGCCATTTTTACCTCCAGCCCATGCTGCCTCTATTCCATGACTGTGAATCTAGAATAAATGAAAAAGGAAAATTGCACTTTGATATACAATGCAGCATTTTAGACAAAATAAAAACAAGATGACCTTTGCAATGAGTGAAGTCAAACACATTTGAATTCAATCAGTTATCTAAGTCACACATACTTGTTTAGCTTTTTAACCAATTTTTTAAAGCAAGATGGCCTTACTGTCTATTGGTACTGAAGAATCATCAGGATATGAAGTCTGCAAACCTAAGCAGAGCTCCATTCAACACAAGGGTGACTGAGATAAGATCAGGCTGCACGTATCCAGAAAATGCATGTGCGAATTTCTTAACAGTAGTAATAATGGAAGACAGAAATACTTGACAAGATTAACTAGTTAATAGTGAGAACAGATTTAGGAAATGCTGCAGTTGAATTGAAATTTTCAGACAAGTGAAATTCAACATATTCAGTGGGTAACAACTGCTACCCAACTGCAACAGGTTGATAAACTATTTTCTCAAATGCATACGTACCTCAGCAGAAGGGGTTACTACATAAGGTGGGTTAAATAGCAGTACATCCACTTTCCCATGCAATCGTGGCAACAATGCTGTTACCTAGACATAAGTTGACATAAAATAAATTAACACAACTTTTATTCTCCAACAAAGTTCTCCAAGCCTGCTTGTGTAAAACTTTCAATACGATTTAGTAAAAAATTTGGGGCAGGGTTAGGGGGAAAGTTACAGCTATTCCAGTTTGCTTCAACTTTAGCACATGACCTTCAGTTAGGTCACAGAAGACTGACATCTTATTAAAAGACTGGTTATCAGTCTCAATGCTGTCTCATTGCCTTTATGCTCCAAGAAAAGGTCAAAACCAAAAAACAATGTTGTTTTCAATTAACTCACCAAATTACTGGATGAGGATAGTTTTGCTACAATTATTTTCCAAAGGAAGTGAAAAAAGGTACCTCTGTATTAAAAGGATTAACATTTTATAACTTGATCTGATTTAATATTTGTGTTCTGCTTTTCAAGCAACAATGTTGAGATGGAAGTAGCTCACAATAAATAACATTAGAATTTACAAACATAAGTCACTAGTAAAAAAAATAGCATATAAATACCTCAAAAAAGCTAATTTATTGAACAATATAAACTCAAAGTGCTATATCAGCACATCACAGTTAAGTGTTTGGTATTATGAAAGTATGCAGTATTATCTATCAAAAGGATGAGTTATAATTTGAATCTCACCAGATCGGTAATTATGGGCTGAATGTCAACATTATTATGTATGGCTGTTTCCACAGTGCACAGACCTGCCAGAGGGTTGATATCGGTACACCTATAAGCAAATGAGCCGTATTTCAGTTAAAACAAGCAATGTTTTGTCAACCAAGGTAACTGGACATAAAATATCATTTAGATAAGTTGATATTAAAACTGTCACAATGTGATACAAATAAATACCCACAGGTTGCAGTTCCTTATAAGAGTATTCTCTTGTAGTTGGCAACAATTGAAATATCATGTTAGGCATAACAATTCAAATATCCCTATCTGCTCTGACTGCAGGGATTTTGCACCACCCAAGCTTTGAAAGAAAGAATTCTGGTAACTTTTATTAAACCAAGATTAACCATGGACTTCCATGCAACATACTGGCTCAGTTCAGAGACCATAAAAACTATGGTGAATGAAGTTTATGATTTGGCACAGCATGTAAACATCTCCAGGCACAGCTGCATCAGAAATACAGAAATAAGTCTTTGAAGCCAAGTCCTGGAAGGATGGAATACTAAAGTAGATAAAGAGGTCTAAAGCATAGTTTGCTTCTATGCATTTGGAAACTCAATGGTTTAGGTTCTAAAATACTGCTAAAATGAACCCTGATTTGGTGTGATATCTGAACCAAGTAATTAGCTGCATTGAGTTGGGAGATGTATAGTATTAGCTTCAACCTGTGCATCTTTCACCCAACTGGTCTATTGTAGGAAGGATCCACTGGCATCAAATATACATTCCCATGACTTTAATTACACTTCACATATTTATGCCCAAAGGTGGTTGTTGTTTTTTTAAAAAAACCACTATAGTATACAACTTAATTAAAAGGCCACTGAAGTGCAATTCATGGTAATATTTTTGTGATCTAGGGGTGTGGGGTACATTTAAATAATCATATGCACCCTGCCTTTACTTATCCTACAATACAATTTAAAATAACATATAAATACTTACAAGTATAACGCTTTGGGTCCAGCAATTGAAGCCAAAAATGTTGAAACTACTCCAGATCCAGATCCTACTTCAAGGCAGATCTCAATGCTAAACATTTTAGACATAAAAATAAGGGTGCAATGAGATTAACGAGGGCTGTGCTGCTATAAACTATTCAGACAGTGACTACATATCTTAAAAATATCTGGATACAATGTATTTTTCTGCAGAAAAAAATAGAGATTAATATTATCCACTGTAAGCTTTACTTTAAATGGAATGACCATACCCACTAAGAAGCTTAAGTTCTATTTTTATAAATTAATAAGCTTGATTTTTAAAGAGATTAAATTCATTTTCCATGTAGTTTTCAACTTCTGATTTTTTAAACTAGTAAATCCTATTTGAAATGCACTTATCCAGTCTAATGATGGCCTTTCAAAACAATCTGTAAGCCGAAGTTCTTTATATATTTTCCATCTGTAAATGCCAGTACGTATTCTAGCTTTGCCTCAAAACCAGTGGGTCATCCTGCAGATGAATGTTTGCTCTAGACACACTTAAGCACAGTTAACTGTCATAACTATAGGACAAGTGTATCCTAGATATCAAGCTGGACTACAGCCATAGTTCTAACAGAGCATATTTTGTGTATATAAGGTTTCAGATTAATCCCTTGGCAACACTACCTTAAAAAGGGAGTCTCAAGTACTACTACTGACAAAGATCTTGTCACAAGGCTGGTTGAACTCCTTTCAGCAGAAACTGTTCACAATCCTTACTGCAACTAAAGCCAATACGTTGGAACAAAACACTATAGAGTATGACATAACCAGCTTTGGCAAGGCCCTACAAGGAAATAAAGTAAGGTGGTATGTTTTTTGGTGCTATTAGAAGTGGCAGGGTGAAAGACAGGCACATCTGATCCATGGGGCACAAGTCATCAGGAAATTCTACTTTCAAGGCTCCTTAAAACAGCAGCAATGCTCTGAGGCTCAGGTGTCCTTGGTGGCACAGAGTGCCTTCCATCAGCTTCAGCTGGTGACCCAGCTGCTCCCCTATCTGGACACATATAGCCTAACTTCTACCATCTATCCTCTGGTAACTTCTAGGTTAGATTACTGTAATGTGTTATATGTGGGGCTGCCTCTGAAGAGTGTTTGGAAACTTCATTTGGTGCAGAATTCAGAGGCCAGGTTGCTCCCAAGGGCAAAACAGTTTTTGAGCAGTGTTAGAAACTGAGATATGAAAGTTAGGAGCTAAATGGCACCTTAAACTTAGGTTATGGGCGCAACAACAGAATGTCCAGGCGCACTTTTTATAACAAGAATACAAAACAGAAAATAAGAACTGCAGATAAAATCTTATATTCATTTTTCACATGGTCTAGTCCTCTTCTGAAGACTGCAAAAATCCTGCCATGCTTCCCCTGCCCACCCCTCTAATATTCTTAAGAGGGTCTCTTCTCCAGTATTCAGAAGGTGGCTGGAAGTGGGGAGGCATGAAGAGATCTTCCTTTCCTTCCACTCTGCAGTTTTAATCTGAAATCTTAGGCGCAGTACTGTGCCCAGAGCTCAGAAACTACTTGTGCAAATGAAATTCCTTGTCGCAAAATGTGCCTAGAACAATGGGAGTTTTGAATGCTGGGTTTGAGCATATGATGCCAATTTTGGCCTGACTGCACTAGTTTCCAGGCCCAGTTCAAAGTGCTAGTTTTGACCTATAAAGCCTTAAATGGCTCAGGATCCCAATACCTGAGGGACCACATTTCCCCATTATGAATCCCCCCAGACCCTGCAATCACCATCTGAGGCCTTTCTTCCTCCACGAGAGGTTTTGAGGGTAGCAATACGAGAATGAGCCTTTTCTGCAATGGCTCCCCACTTATGGAATGCTGTCCCGAGAGCCCCCCCTGGCACCTTCATTACATATCTTTAGGCACCAGGCGAAACATTTATTTACTGCCAATCCTTCGGCTAATTAAACTACCTAAGATCTTTTAAACTGTGTGGGGAAGTTATTGTTTTTGTTTGTAACTATGTTATGCATTTTTGTATTTTAATATTTCAAACCACCTTGTGGTCCTCAGATGAAGAATGCTATACAAATTTAATAAATAAAAGAAATATTTTTTCCAGTGGGACTTTCTGGTGCATTGTGGCATGTTGATTAGTAGAAGGGCTGCCATTTAAACTTTCTGCTTCAGGCACCAAAACAGGCCACAGCCCTGGTTGTTGTTTTTTTGCTACATTTCTTTCACACCCTTCCTCCAAGGAGCCCAGGTTGTACTATTCTCACAACTCTGAGAGAAAAAATTAGCTGAAGCTTGCAAATCTTACTAATAAACATGTGCAGGTTCCCAAAGATGAGATCGCAACTGCCTTGCTCTTTGTGGCGGGAAGCATATCCTGATCCTATCTGTCCAGCTTCAAGATTTTGCCAGCTGTGTGAGAAATAAAGAAAGGGTGAATGTTGTCCTGTTTCTTGTAAGTTGCCTTGAGAATGTGTGATCCAAGGGTGGGGCATAAATCTTTAAAAATAACTAACTCATCTGCCACTGCATGCACCCAGATGATACCCGTGGTTCCATATACATTTGTTGTGTGCACATTATTTTACACATGAACCTTTAAAAAGTGTGTTGAGTGCTTTTAAGGAATCTGCTTTATTTTCATGCCATGATGGAGTAAAGGGTATTGTGATCTGGGTTCAATGCTCTCCTTACCATCATTAGGCTAAGGTTACCAGATATCCCCGTTTCCCGGGGACAGTCCCCAGATTTACAAATCAGTCCCCTGACAAAATCCATCTGCTGTATTTTTTGCTCTATAAGACTCACTTTTTCCTTCCTAAAAAATAAGGGGAAATGTGTGTGCGTCTTATGGAGCGAATGCAGGCTGCGCAGCTATCCCAGAAGCCAGAACAGCAAGAGGGATTGCTGCTTTCACTGTGCAGCGATCCCTCTTGCTGCTCTGGCTTCTGAGATTCAGAATATTTTTTTTCTTGTTTTCCTCCTCCAAAAACTAGGTGTGTCTTGTGGTCTGGTGCGTCTTATAGAGCGAAAAATACAGTATTTAGCAGGAAGTTGAAAAGTGTCCCCGAAATCATTGAAACAAATTAGGTAACCTTACATTAGGCATGCACACAAACATTTCTTTTCTTTGTTTTCAGACTTCAAATAACTCCAAATGCATGGATATACATTTTTAGTTTAACTGCGTTAAAATTTGAGGTTTGAGTGGGTTCGGTTTGATGTTTAGCTCTGCTATTGTGGTCTGCACTTTCGCCGTAGGTGCAATTAACTGCGTGCAATTTGAGGTTTGAGTGGGTTCGGTTTGATGTTTAGCTCTGCTATAGTGGTCTGCACTTTCGCCGTAGGTCCACGCCGCTGTCTTAAAACGTCCTCGGAACGTAACCCACCTGCAGCACCTTCAATATAAATTCACGCGAAGTCAACGAGTTCAGTTTTTGCCAAGAGGCCAGAGCTGAGAGACCTGAGCCGCGCCACCAGCACGCGAGGTGAAGGCTCCTGACAGGAACTTGGGTCAGCCGTGCAAATGACCGGCACCACAGCCGTTTGCGTGCGCGCGCATCCTCACCGCCCTCCGCCTCCCTCCTGCCATTGGTTCCCTCACCTGCCGCTCCTCAGCTCCTCCGCGTCCCTCTCCAGAGCGTCCAGCAGCAGGAAAGTGTCTTCGGCGGGCTCGTAGACCTCGCTGAAGGGGCCCTGCGGCCCCACGTGCCGGTGCCACGGAGTGGGAATCATCGTGGGGCACCGCAAAGGGTTAAACAAAAGGCTTCCCGCCGAAGAAGATGAGAGTAACGGCCGGTGAGGCTGGGGGGGAACTGCGCAGCCGCCAAAAAAAAGTCCCGGATGTAAACACATCCCTTCGTCGGAGGTGGTGGATATTTACAGTCTTGCAGAGAGGCACAGAAAGACCAAAGAAAAAGCCGCCGGCTGCCCGATGAGCATAGATTTCTTGCCGTAGAAGGGCTGCTTTGCTGAGCAGAAACTTCCGGTGCGTTGCCTGCTGGGAAGGGACCCCGTGTGACGGAAGTCTGTGGTCCGGATTTATAAACAACTCGCAGTGAGCCCAAATTCCGGGTTCAGTGTGAACGTTCCAGGGCAGAAGTGAAGGGTGCTCGGAGCGGGAACCAGCAGAGAAATCTAGATTTTTAGCGTGGCTTTGGCCAGCGGCGTGTCATACTCTCCCAAACAAGGCAGCAGCAAAGGCAGGCGGTCACGATAGTGGTTAGCGTGTTTAATTAGGACCTAGGATCCCTGGGTTCAATTTTCCACTTGGATATGAAGCTCACCAGGTGACTCTCAATCTAAACTACCTCAGAGTTGTTGTGGGGATTAACTGGGGAGGGGGAGAACAATGTATGCTATATTGAACTTCTTGGATAAAATATGCATATGAAATAAAAAAAAAGGTACCACAAGACTGATTTTTCTGTAACACACCTGATTGCTTTCATTCCCTTCTGCCTGCCCTGTGCCCCCTTTGTTAGCCTCCCCCCACCCCAGGCCATCCTAAGACATTTTGCTATCTGAGCCAAAAGACAAGTTGGTGCCCCAATTCTGTGGGTGGAGTAGCCGTTGATTCTTCAGTACAAGCACAGGGTACCTCTTCAGCTGCACCTAGGGCAACAAGCTAGTTTAGAGAGTACAGGACAGATCACGAGGCACACATAACTCTGCCCTACAACAAAGTGCAATAGTAGAGTGGGGGCATTCAGGAGGAACAGCTGGGAGCTGCCTGGATGTGTGCTTCTGTGAGCGGGACTAGTTAGTTAAATCCAGCCCGTGGACTACCATACCACCCTCTTTGTGGGGAAGAGGTAGAGGAGGAAAGTACATTTCTGCCTGTAACCTACTAGGTGATTTTTCCAGTCAAACTATTCAGCTGTCAACACAGGTTGCAACTCAGATGTACACACTTCAGCCAACTTTGCTGGTGTAGCACAGATGGTCTATGTGAGCCTACCCACATTCAGTGTTATTTTTCTAGAAGAAGTGGTGCCAGAACTTGGCACGAACGCCTCCTTTGTTCTTTTATAATGGCAATGGCGTCCACCTGAGAAGTACAGAAAAAGCCCTGCCCACATTTAACCCAGAGTTCTACATGTGGAACTATGCCTTCCTTTATTTGAGTTGTACCTCATGGGATCTGCCCTACACACAGATAATGCCTATGTAGTTGTGTGGTTTTTTGCCTACACCCAGGCTGGGGAGCGTGTTGTCCTCCAGATTTTGGACTCCCCACAATCTGTAGTAGGCATAGCAAATATTCAAATATTATGTAAATTGTGGTCCAGCAACATCTGGAGGGCTGCAAGTGTCCCACCACTGAATACACTAAAACAGGCAAGCGTGTTTTTTCTGGCATTAGAAGCACCAGCTCTTACAAAGAAATGAATAGCAACCATTTCCTGTTTCTGCTTTTGCCTTTCCGTTTTTCATTCTCTCACTTTTTTGAGAAGTGTACAGTTATTACAAAGCATGGTAATGAATGGGAGTCTCTTCCAATCCCTCTTCAAAATCCTTTTTGTGTGAAGCCTTTGACATGGTCCTAGGTGGCTAAGCATAATTACACATTCTTTTCATTATTATCCCTGTTTCCATTTCCATCACCCTCCTCTATTGTCTCCCTGTATCTGATTATTGATTGCAGATCCTTTGGATAGCGACCTGTCCTATTGTATTCTGTAGAGCACTATGCACATTTATGTATTTACAAGCAACCTCATTCTCCATAGTTTGGGAATTCTAATAAAATCTGCCGTTTTCAAAGGTACAGTCTGCCATCTTGATTCTAAAATGGCATCCATTTGTATCCAAACAAATGAAAACCTACCCCTTGATCTCGGGAACCATAATGCAAAATTTGGTTCCTGTATCTTAAGAGGTATCCACATGCATAATGAACAATTTTTCAAAATACATAATTGGTTTTAAAGCATGTTACCCCAGCTTCAGCTAAAAGACTGCTAGAGCAACTTATATAAGGTCAATTAAAACAAGTAAATCCCCTGCCCACAGGTTGCAATTTGAAAGAAAACAAAAGGTATGAAGAAGGAAGATTGCAAACTCTGGCACAAACACTTCAAGTTACATAGTAGGTCTTCTAATGAGCAGATGGAATGAAAACAGTTCAGGAAGATGAGCCAAAGGGTGTTGATAAAAATAGATGATGGAATGCCCCTGCTTCTCACCTTTCTTTCTGTTGCAGCCAGGTGATAGCCTATGGAGGGAGGTAGAGCCAGATAACGTGGCCCTGCTTTCCACCTTCAGCCAGGTGACAATTGATGGAGGGAGGAGGAACCTGATAGTGTGGTCCTGTTTCCCATCTCCCCCTCTGCTTCAGCCTAATAGAATTGCTGCTGATGGTGCTATATACATAACAACAAATAAATGAACAGATTATGCAACATCCACAAGATACACTTTCAGAATGTACACAGAACAGACTGTTTCTTGTAACACCATAACAACCAATGCTGCTGAATAACTTGGTGGGCCAATATAATGTTGTTGCCAAGGCTGAAGATCAAGTCCAATTCTTCAGTTTGCTTTTGGGTGGCCAGGAAAAATTAGTTTCAGCAAAGGCTCATGCATGCTGATTTAAAATGAATCCAGGTCTGCTACAAAGAACATTGGAAAATTGCAGCGGCCAAGAACAGACTTGTATTTGTGAAGTTTTATAGGCTTGTGATTTTGCATGAAGCCTGAGGTCTTGTGCTAGGCACTAAAATACTCAATTAGCAGATTATGACTAATAGAATAGGATAGGTCTGCTTGCACGAGGCAAAGTAATATACAGCAATATTTAGCTCTTTCAATAGTACAATGTCAAGCTGTGCTAGGTAGATGGAATAACAGTTGTACAACGTATTCCTATGCTTGTCTACTCAGAAGTACTGTGTTTAATGTGCATTCCCCCAATAAGTGTGGAGCGTCAAACACATGTTCTTTATAGTACTTGTGCATAAAGTAGTGCATATCTTCTGTGACAGGTGCATATACTTGGTTTCTTTTGAAGTGGATTCTGGGATTTGATGGAACCTTAAGGTACTTTCAGCCTAAGTTGTTTAGGGTTTTGCAAATTAACACACAGACTTTGAACCTAGCCTGGTAGCAATTTGATAACCAATACATATTGCCAGCAGTCTGCTACTGTGAGAGAGTAGCTGCTGCATTCTGCACCAGCGGCATCTTTTAGACCAGACACAATCGCAGTCCCACATAAAGTGTGTTACCATAATTGTGTTTTGAGGCTACAAATGCATGTATGGACCATGCCACCCTAAACCAGGAATAGTTGCAGCTGGCGTACCAGCCAAAGTTGCTAGAAGGCCACAAGTCACTTGGGGCCTCTAGTGACAAAGATGAATCAAAGAATATCTATAAACCTGCTCCTTCAGAAGGAGTGCAGCCCCATCCCAAACAGGCAACTAATCTATCTCCCACATATGGAACCATCTACCCACGAGGCCTCTGCCTTTCTAGGATATCAGCCCAGCTTACTGGCTCACATCCAGTCCACCACTGCATTCAGACACTGGTCCAGGGCTTCCACGGCTTTTCCTAACTCAGATGTAATGGAGAAATACAGCTGGGTATCATCAGAATATTGATGGTACTTCATTCCAAAATTCCTAATGGCTGTTCCCAACAGTGCCCTCTGGCACTCCATAGTGTAAACACCAGAGGACTGAGGAGCACTCTCCCGGAATTACGGTACTCTCTGGACATGGCCCTATAGGTAGGAATGGAGCTACTGCAGCACAATGCCACCACTAACGATGCCATCGATGCCCAGCCTGTAGTTTTGCCGCAGAAGTATACAATGGCCAATGGTATCATAAGCCACTGAAAGCTTGAGAAGAAGGAGCAGGGTTGCACTCCTCCTGTCCTCTCTACAAAGGGCAACCAAGGCTGATTTGCTCCCAAACCCAGGCTGGCATGGATTCAGATAATCATTCTCATCCAGGAACGTCCAGTTGCTCCACCACAAACCTCTCTGCCACCTTCCCTAAAAACAGGGCATTTGCAACTGGGTGAATAGTTGTGACCACTGATTGGATCAAAGCCTCATTTTTTGGTAGTAGCTGTTCTACCACCTCATCTAAGGTGGCAGGCACCATCCCCTCACACTGTGAAGCAACCACTGTCAACCAGCCATCTCTCACACCCTTCCTGAGTTTGATTTCACCAGCCATGATGAAATTAGAATGAATTAGATTTCTGTACCTCGCTCTTCAAGGCTTCACCTGTCATCAAAACTAGACCACTACTGTATAAAATAAGTAAACAACACATTAAATCTTATTATTCCAATAATCTAGAGTTGTATTAATTCTGATAATTTTGATTTACCAATATTAAGCTAATTCACGTTGTAGTTTTTAAAAGATCTTTATAGAGGACTAGCTTTTGAAGTTTAATACAAGAACCAACATTGTATTCAGCTGTGGTAAATGTTGGCTTTGGCTGCCTAAATGCTTGTGAAGTCTGTTGTTGTCGCTGTTGTTAGTAGCAGCAAAAGTAGTGGGTTTTTTACACACTTTTAAACCTTTCTTGGTAAATTTTGTTCACCATCTATTTTTAGCCTTTACATAACTAAATATGATTATTTTCCTTCAGAGAAGACAGGCTGTTGTTGCCAAAAAGAGAGACAGATCTGTTTCATTTTTTAAAAAAAACTACTTGCAAGTTAATAATATTTTTGTTTTGACGGTATCTCTGTCATGTAATTAAAGTCTATATTACAGCAGTTAAACATTTTCTTCTTGATGGATATCATCACCTGCAAAATACATAGCTTAATTGCCTTTAGCATTTGGAGACATTGTTTAGCTGAGGGACATGTAACCCAGCCATACTTGGAGCTTTTCCACAAAAAAAACTTTAGCTTCTTTTTAGTGCAACCAAGACAGGAACTTTTTATCACATAATGGACATGAAGAGGACGGAATTGCTGCAATGAGGCCAAATAGGTGTGTTCCAGGATACCAGAGGCAAAGTGCACAGCTTTCAAAGAGCAGCAGTAAAAAATAAAATACTGTAAAGAAAAAGGAGAAACATTTTTTATACGATCGAACATCATTTTGTGCATAGCTGGGGGTGATGAAGTCGTAGCTTTGGTGATGTTGGCCACGTACTGACAGGACAAGAGTTTTATTTCTAGGCTAGGTTTGTACTGCACATGAATGGAGTAGTAATATTAAACAAGGAGCAATGGAAAATTGCTATCATGGCAACTGGTTTCACCTGACTGTTGGGCAGCGAGCTGCTAAACTCCTGTGTCCCTTAGCTGTTCAACTACCATAATGCTAAATTTTTCTTTCTATTCAGAAAGGGGCTTTTCATAAGTTTTGGACTCTGCAAATTACAGCAGTCTCTGTTCTTCAACCATCATCCCTAGAATGGCTTACAACAAGATGGAATAAAAACACATAGGACCAGAACCAATTAACCCAGTGGGAGGCAGCACAAGGGCTCCTGCTAGTGCAATGAGGCAATCCCTACTCTCTTTCCCCTGCCTGCCCCCCCCATGTCCTCCAAATCCACTCCAGAGGGTCAGGAGAATCTGCAAAAAAAGTTCTGTGTGGGGGAATCATTGGTCTGGCAAGAAGAAATGTTTGTACTGACAGAATGATCAGAAGTTTGTGATGTTACTAATGGCATAATGTGTTGAATCCTTCCTAACATAAGTCAATTGAACTTAGGCCGAATAGAAATCACTAAGATGAGTTAGTCATGATTGAATTTAGCTCCCAATGAAATCAATTGGTCTTAAGGTATTTTCTAGGAGGTCTTAAGACAAAATAAAATCAATGACTTTTATCCAACCTCCAGAGATTGACTTAAAATATACAGTGTACTTTTTAATAGCCTTTCAAAAGGGATAAACAAAATAACTGAAAAGTTCCTTAGCCACATTTAAATTTCAGTGAAATGTTTCCTGGAAAAGTTTTTGCAGACTAAGGCATAGACCCTCAACTTTGTGGGGTGTTTGTTTTTTAAGCATTGATGGAAAAGTTAATAACTAAAAGAGCAGTGTTTTTAAGATGAATTGTCTTCAACTTCTTTGCCAAATTGCTCTCTAAGGATTAAGGTGTTTATCATCAGTATGTTTTATTGTCTGAGTAAAATCTGTTCTCTCAAATAACCATAGTCGAATTAATCATTTTGTAGACAAACTTCTAGGAGGAGTTAACTGGGTTTTGCAGCTGTCAAAATAAAATTAAGTGTGATATGGTAACGGCTTGAATGTCACTGTTTTGAATGGATGGATGCCTTTCACAGAACTGTAAAAAAAATATCCCCTGGGATAGCTCAGTTGGTAGAGCGTGAGGCTGTTCATCTCAGGGTTATGGGTTCAAGACCCAGGTTGGGCAAAAGATTCCTGCATTGCAGGGGGTTGGACTAGATGACCCTCGTGGTCCCTTCCAACTCTACAATTCTTTGAGTCTTTGAGTCTAATTATTAGAATTTGAAGATAGCTTGGGGATCTGACAATCAGCATTGGAAGAACAGGGTATAGAATTGATTTAATTAAAGGAGCTCCATCAAACTGCACTTTCTAGGATCTACTTCTAGGTGTTTAATACAAACATAGATTTAAGTTACAATGGGAATACAAATGATATATGTGAGAATATTATATGGGTTTGATGGGTCTTACGTTTTATCTATGGAAGTTCATTCTTTTGGAGGTTAAGTTAGCCTCTGCTGTGGTACTCCCCTTTTAGAGTGATGGGGTTGGACTTGCCTTTCTTATTGTATTGTCAAAGGAATTTTATATGTCTTTTAAACTTTGCTTTTAACTGATTCCCCCCCCCCCCGTTGTTGATTCAAAACTTTTTTTCACATAAAACACCTAACAAATGCAGTAAATCATAACAATATCAGCATTTTTTAGATGCTGCAAGTGTTAAATGCTCCTGCTGCTAATGCTACTACTAATGGTCCATAGGCCAAGTTGCTAAGCACATTTTTGTTAGGGAACTCACAAGTAATTTGGCTACAGTGACATAAGAACTAATTGGGGTATCTGATGTGGATTTGCTGTTGGAGTGGCTAAACTACACCCAGTAGCAGCCGGCATGTTGGGGAGCTGCCGAACTGCCCTGATGACACTGCAGTGATGGCAGCATACCTGGATAGGAATGAGGCAGTGCAGGGCAGTTGCTGTGTCAACTCACCAGAGCCAAATTGGCTTTGCCAGTGTGTCCTCACAGCCCTGTCTACATAAACAGCAGTGATATTGGTGTCAGGAGGGCAGCTCCAAACACTGGCTGCTACTGGCTATAGCAGGGGTCAGCAAACTTTTTCAGCAGGGGGCCAGTCCACTGTCCCTCAGACCTTGTGGGGGGCCGGACTATCTTTTTTTTTGGGGGGGGAATGAATTCCTATGCTCCACAAATAACCCAGAGATTCATTTTATCCCGGACCGTCCACAGGCTGGATTTAGAAGGCGATTGGGTCGGATCTTGCCCCCGGGCCTTAGTCTGCCTACCCATGGGCTATAGGGAAGTTACCCATGCTGTGTGTTCAATTAGCATGAAACAAGAAGTGAAGGGGAGATTATTGCTGGAGCTTTCCTGAAAACCATAGCTGCACAGGAACGAAATGTTTTGTGTATTGAACTGCAGCATGTTTTTGTTTTTTTTAATGGCACCTTAATTTACAAGATGCTGACACTATTTCCTCAGAGCTGGTATCTGTTCCTGCATGATACAATTGTGGCATCTGCATACAGACCTCCCTGTACCATTCCCATCTTTCATATCTTATTCACTGCCCTGTTCTACACTAGGTTCATAACATACACTTTTTGACTTAAGGATTCTCACTCTCAATAAGAGGGCAAGCAAAATGTTGTTCCCTCGCTTGAGAGCTGCATTTCCAAGAGAAATGTGGCAAATGGGAGTTTTGCCAATTCCCCTTGGGTTAATGATGAAAGAAGCCATGGGGCAATGTTGGTGGCAGGACCATAGCGCAGTGGTAATGCTTTTATTGAAAAGGCATTGGCTGAGATCCAGGAGAATTGTTGTTAGTAAGATTGGACAAGACAGGCCAATAGATGGAATTTGATCATGTTTATTCATGTTTATATATATTTCCCCATTAAATGTTTCCTTGTTTCTAAGTACTTGAAGCAACAGGAGTTCTGCCCAGGGTAGAATTTTAAAACTCTAGGCAAGACATCATGACTAAAAATAGAGCAATATCTATCTTCTTGCTGTAGTTTGACCCAACATTCTTTTTGAGTAATTCCTGGCTTGGCTCCTTTCATCTGCAGACCCGGCAAGGGAAGGGACAGTCGCCCCAAGAGAAGCAAAAGCAGCAAACATGCAACTAAGATTGTTATTGTACAGAAACACTGATTGGGAATTGGAAGAAAAAAGAAGACTCTGCTCTTCCAGTGCTGTTTGTTATTGAAGAAAGTTTTTCTTGGCCAAATGTAAAAACTTTGCAAAGTGCCCACCCAGTTAGTGTTCATCTTTGGGATTATTTTGCAGCAAACATGGTCTCTATCTACAGTGTGAAGAATGGATCCTTAACTCTTTCGTGATTGTTAGATTTCATTAATAAGAAATAATTCCAATAAACCTATTTTCCAGCTGTGTTCCTTGCTACAATTTGTTAACGTTTATTTAGAGCCATTTAACCTGGCACTTTGCAAAGCATGGACATGTCCTTGTCCAAAGCACACAAGGGAAGAGTCTGTTGTCAATGTGATCTTTCACCTTACAGTCTGAACAGATTTTATTGTACAGAAAATCTATTATGTTCTGCATCTCTCTATATCTATATTTTAAAAAATCAAAAGTGTTTCCCCTATGAATCAGAAAAATAAACCATCTATCCCATTCTGAGCTCTATTAGTCAATATGTGGGTGATGAAGGATGGAAACTTGGCTCATTTGTGGAGGTTAGGCTGTTCATTGTCAAACTCTCTGAAATATAGGCACTTGTGGAAGGGACATACCTCTCCTGAAGGTCAGCTACAAACAGCTTCTCTTGGCTAAAGAGGGCTGTGGAATCAATGTGAGTTCTGGGTTGTACAGTTCTCCTTCCCATTTTATATAGTGCTCAAAAACAGAGCTTGTGAGTAACTTCATGTTGTTGGCATCCATCTGTCTTGAGAGACAACAGAGTGCATCTCCAGGGATGAAAGCATACTGCTGTGTTAGCAACACTAATGTGACCTCCCTGGGACACAAGCCTGGGCAGTGTGTATGGAAGTCCTGGGCTGCCTTGCTGATGTGGTCCAAAGGAAAGCAGAGCAATACATTTGGTACCAGCTTGGCTGCAGGATTTGCCAGAAGGAAGCATTAGAAGTCGCCATCCAACTGTCTTAGGGACTCTAATTCAAATTTGTGTAGCGTTTGCTCCGTAGCCTTTTCTTCTCCCGATGATGTCCTGCAAGGTAGCTGGTATGGATTTTTCTTTGGGGTTTACTCCTGAAGCTTTTCTCACAGATGCAAGGCAGCGGAGGTTTAGGATGAGTTTTCTTTTTCCTAGATGGTCTACCTTCCATCTGCCCCTCACTTCCTTCTACAGCATGTGCAGTAACTGCCTTCTTGACTGTCAGATCTACTACTGGTCTCATCTGCTTAACCCACTGAAGGCTGTCTTCACATGCCGGCAAAGTCCCTAACTCAACAAGGGTTTGAGACCCATTGGCTACTCTTACCTGATTTCAGATGTCCAGTCAAAGCTGTTTCCTAGAGTATGGCTGTTGTCACATGCTGATAGCTTCTACAAGCCACAGGTGAGAGCTGAATGCAAGGTGAGGACCAGAGGCAGCAACATAAGGAATTAAAATCTTGACTGGAGGAATGCCTGGCTGGATTGTTGTTCCACTTAATCTCATGGAGTGGAGACACCGTGACATTGTTGTGTGTGTTGCAGTAGAGAGAGGTGGGACCTAATAATCATGAATTCATCAACTCTTTTCATGTGTGAGCAGCATGTGAGCTCTGTTGCCTATGCAGTCTTTGGTGGGCTTTTGGTGGGTCTCTGTGTGTGCCTTGTCAGGGTTTTCTGAATGATGTGTGTCCCCCTCTCATCTTGGTATGAAAATGTATAGATACACATGACCCAGATATTTTTATATCTTCATTCTGAGTTCACAAGATGGCAACTGAGGAGCACCGAGATGCACTAAAATGCATTATGTGGCTATTTCATTAACTGTCAGCAGGTAGAAGAACTGTTTGAGCTCAGTCTGATGTTTGGAATGTCCTTGATAAGGAACTACTAATGAAACAGCAGTTCTGATAGAAGCCCCTGGTAAAATGAGGATGGGAGCTAGGCATTTGCTCAGGAATGTCTCATGGTTAATTGGACCCTGAACAAGGAGAAAAGCCTTTTTTGTTAAGTGCACAGCCAAGGGGTATTAGATTTCACCAACTCTGCTTTTGCAGCAATAATACAATTAGGTTTTCTTCCAGAAAATTATAGTGGTTAGTTTATATACTTAAAAGAATCCAGCAATTTTGCTTTGTTGAGTGAAATATTCCAGATGGTGACCATCAGAAATTTTACAGCACTATTGATAGAGGAACTTGACAATTAAGCCCATAAGCACACATATATACAATATATATACGTATATATGTTGATGAGAACTGGTTTTATTGTGTGGTTCATTTTAAGTAAATAAATAATCACTTTTCATATATATATATATATTAATTCCACAAAGCACTATAAATTGCTTGCTATATCTGGAGTTTCTTAGAAAACATTTTGTCAGCAGTGGAAACCAATGTTATTAAAGTAAATTGCTGCTCCAATGGAGCAGTGCTCTATGTTGTTTGCAGTTGCCTTGATATATAGGACTTAAAGGATATGGCTTAAATAAAAATCGCAATCTCTATAAAAGTCAGTTTATTTTAGCACAATTTTGCCAAACTTTCTTGGATTCCTTTGAATAGATTTACAGCCCAATTGAGCGAGCAATGCTTACTACAATTTCACCTGTCCCTTGTGGCTAAATCCATCAAATGGTTCCAGGTCTTGTTTCAAATCACAACTGAATTAATTACTCATGAGTGCAATTGGCTTAGTTGTAATTATTTTATATGATCCAGGCGCATTCTTAGGGGGAAAATATGTCAAACAGGGGGAAAATATGTCAAACAGCAATGCAGTGCTAAGTCATCAAAAGTAATTTATAGTTACTTCTTGTGTTCCTATATTAAAAGGTAAAGATACCCCTGACCGTTAGGTCCAGTCGTGGACAACTCTGGGGTTGCGCACTCATCTTGCTTTACTGGCTGAGGGAGCCGACGTTGGTTCACAGACAGCTTTCCAAGTTATGTGGCCAGCATGACTAAGCCACTTCTGGCAAACCAGAGCAGTGCACAGAAATGCCGTTTACCTTCCTGCCAGGGTGGTACCTATTTATCTACTTGCACTTTGACGTGCTTTCGAACTGCTAGGTGGGCAGGAGCTGGGACCGAACAACGGGAGCTCCCCCGTCATGGGGATTTGAACCGCCGACCTTCTGATCGGCAAGCCCTAGGCTTTGTGGTTTAGATCACACCACCACCCACGTCCCTGTTTCTATATTAGGGGCACATTAATGGCAGTTTGTACAAAATTATTAGCCATAGACATATGGCATAGTCATGTATGGCACATTAAGATGTAACAATCGAGGACATAACAGTCCTAGGATGGCTCTGAGAGAGTCTGCCAGAGGGCACCTCGTCCAAGGCTGCCTCAAACCTGACATATCCATGAAGGCACACCTGGAAGAAACTCCAGCTTCACTGCCATATAAACATTGCTCACAGTTGACACAAGCAATACAGATTTTATAATGTTAGCAGCAGGAGGTGCTCTTGCAGTAGCAAAAAGCTAGAGATGATCTCATTTGGCAGATGGAATTGAAATGCAATCACTTAGCTCACATCTTCTATTTCAGGATAAGAGAACACATTATACGAACTTCTTAATTTAATCAGGCAACCTCAGTTCTAATTAAAATCAAGGGCGTCTCTAGATGTCAAACTTTCTCAGTTAATTTATTGAGCAACTGTAACTGAAACATTTTTAAATTATATGGATTTTTTTTTTAAAAAACGTAGACTGCTGGCAAATAAAATTTTGAACATATTTTTGGGATGGATGGAAATCTGAAGGAAAAACAAGGAGAAGTAAAATTGACTGCTGCAAAAGGACAAACACTTGATATGTTTAGCATAAATGATGCTATTTTTAAAAATCCAATGAAATATTAATGGATGCTTAAGTTTGAGAAATGGAATTTTTAAAAGAATATTATCATATTGTTGGAAATGGCACATGTATCTGTATTTCAAATAGTTTAACTGAGAGCACCACTTCAGTAATTTAGGTTGTGCTTTTGGGCAGACTGCATGTGGCACAGGAGATTTTAAAAAGTTCTGTTTTATGTTCTTGTATGTGTTTCTTAGGTAGGGGGAGTGTCATCAGACAAACATTGCGCCCCTGCAAGATGTTTGGCTAGTTTTGCCCTATGCAGTGGAGACTATTCCACAAGGGCTCTTGCCATGCATTGCAAATATGTTCTGCCATGTTTTGACGTGCCCTGGTTCAAATTAACTGTTTGTCTGTTTGGTATGCTTTGTTCTTTTGAGAAAAATGTATTTTGGATAATGAAAAATTAAGTTGATTTTTTGGGGGGAGGGGGGACAGTCCACTATTTGAAAGTGGTTCCCTAGTATATAATAAAATTGCAAGTATGTTGTCATTTCAGTTTGCATAGTTGCCAATTAGAGCTTAATCCTAGTCTGTTAGGCATTTTGTAAACCATTTAGCTTCAGTTTTTAACTGCTACAAACTGCTTCTCTCTAAATGTAATCTCCTCTAGCGTTTTGTGGGCAATTGGGCTGAAAATTGAAGGCACAAGAGAAGTGTCTCTGGGCAACAAACCTGCCAAATGACATGCTAATGGGTCCAGGGGTCTTTGTGAAAGGCACAAAATCGATTTTAAAGTTTCTGAATAAAATAAAACAAAGTTGATTTTAAACTTTCTGAATGAAATCTTTGTCACTCAGCCACAATGGAGCTCTCCAATTTCTCTCTCCCTACTTCATATTTTTTTTCTCCCTTTCTCAATCACTGCACCCTATATGGTGATTATTCCTTGTATGGTAAGCTTATAGATGTTACTTTCTACTATTTTTAGCAATTCTACTTTGATTTGTGTCACCTCATATGGATCCTGCTTTGCCTCTGAGAAGCCCCATATCACACCCCCCCCCCGGCATTTTGCTTTTCTTTAGGATATGGGATTTGTCCTAATCTGATGCACATCCCTACAGAATACCTCTTCTTGATGTTTGTTCCTTTATAACAATTTGCCTCCTTTCATGAATTAAAATACACATGAATGAATACAATTCTGAATTGCCAATTTAGTACCCTCCACTTTAAGTTTTACAGCACTGTGCGCAAAAATGCAGTACTCCCATCAACATTTCAGTAACCACATTTCAGTAACAAAGCATTCAGTACAATCATGACAATAACATTTTTTCCGTAATCATGGTTCTGCATTACAATAACATTTAATCATGATCTTTTCATTTTGACAATTATACAGATTTGTATACCAAAATCCACAAAA